TTATCACTAGTCGTATCTCACCCCTATAACTTCCCCCGCAGACAAGGGAAGAGAACGTTGACCTTACGGCATGCCAATATCATTAACCACAGCGCGGCGGCAGTTTCCCAATCACTGCAGGTGCTATTACACCCAGGCCGGGATGGCAGCCGCCGGAGAATGTCATCAAAGGTCGCGGCAAAACCCCGCCATTCCTACCGATAAGTCTCTGCCGAGAGTTACGGCGGGGTTTATTTTAGACTGCACGGAAGATTGGTTGCGTTGTAAATGGGACGTGAAGCAAGCGGTCATTCTGAGAAAATAGGCTCCTGAATTCCGCTGTATCCGTCCATACATCTCCCTGCCAGGCAATTTGGCTGGTGTATAGAAAAGGTTCTGAACTTCCGCGACTGTCTTGGCGCAGATTTCTGCCGCTTGAATGGATCACCGTGTGAACTTTCAGCCGGGTAACAACATTGACTGGGAGGGTGAATGTTACAATTCTGCTGCAAAGTATACATTAAGTACATGGTCCAGTTCTTATTGTGTTGAAGGGATTAGACATACAGAAGGGTTGTGGCCAGCAAGGCACAGTATCCATGAATCGCGCCAAACCGAGATTCGACATGAGAAGTGCATTTTTCTTGCTTTGTTAACACTGGTGTAACAGTTCTTGTTTTAGGTTTTTGTTGTATAGAATGATGCTTTTGAATTTGAACACAAAGAATGCTACTTGTGATAGAGATTGGTTTATAAGTCCTAATGGTTTTTTAGAGTGAGCGAGTGAGTGAGTGAGTGACGTGAGTGAGTGAGTGAGTGAGTGAGTGAGTGAGTGAGTGAGTGAGTGAGTGAGTGAGTGAGTGAGCGAGCGATTGAGTGAGTGAATGAGAGTGCGTGAGTGAGTGAGTGAGTGAGTGAGTGAGTGAGTGAGTGAGTGAGTGAGTGAGTAACTTCTTGCCCAACTTTGCCGTTGTGGTTGTCAGTCACAATGCACACGATTCAGTCAGAATATATACATACATGTGTGCAGTGACTTTTATAACAAGTAACTTAAACCACACTGGCACATTATGTATCAACTTATTCATGGACAGACTGGTGCAGAAAAGGACATTATCAGTCATCATTAATGGATTCTGTCATGTACATCTACCGTCAAATGCTGGCTGTCACTTTAACTACTAGCATATTGATTGAGAGATGCTATCGCCGGCCTGTCATGAAATATGGATGGTTCAGGGACCGTTTTTAATAGTGGGCCGGTGCTTCAGTCATTCCACTGATGCCGGGATGTGAGGCTTTAGATTTGACCCTTTCACCCAAAGTCTGGCTCGTCTCTTGCGGGTATATCCTACGCTGCAAGGGCAGGGAATAATTGATGACGACGGGTAGGTTTCTTCGGGTAATTTGGCACAAGTAATGCGACCCGCGACGTGTCCCTCAAATCCATCGGCGTTCTAAAGGGCTGAAGACCGGTTAATAGGAATATGCCGTCTGAATGCTGATGCCTGCGGCGGGCTTTGAGCAGAAACCGGTTTTTGGTCGTGGGATTTCCATTTAGTTTTGATCTCACATCTGCTGGTAAATTCAAGGACAGGCAAGATGGAACTGTAATTGCCAACACAACAAAATTGGACTGACCCAAATTTTCGACTGTACAACTCCAGTCTTTGTCAAGGAATGAGCTTCCGTGACGTCACGCAGATAACACACGTGACTCCGTGAGCAGCGGGTCATAGGTTACAGAAAGTCTATGGCGCCCCCCGTCTCTGTTAAGGGATGGTTGCAATACCCTGATGTAGATGGCCTCTTCAATCCCTCGTTCGAAAAAGTCCGCTTCTGTGTCCAAGACTCTTACTTTATCCAATGAGACTGGGTGTCCAGGCGATTTAATATGTTTTTTCCTATTACCTCAGTACAGAGGTTTTGTTTTTCGGTGTATCTGTTTGCTTGCATACAGTAACGTCACAGGCAGTGAGGGAAATTATGTAACCACAGACTGCAGGGGGGGCCAAAATTATGTAACAACAGACTGCAGGGGGGCCAAAATGGTCTTACTGTAGGCTAGGAGGAGGTAACAGTGTCATATACACAGAATCAGCAAGGATTTTAAAAAGTCTCAAATTTCATGGAAATGTAAAATTTCACGAAAAGGTAAAATTTCACGGAAATGTAAAATTTCACGGAAATGTAAAATTTCACGGAAATGTAAAATTTCACGGAAATGTAAAATTTCACGGAAATGTAAATTTTCACGGAAATGTAAAATTTCGCGGAAAGGGAAAATTTCACGGAAATGTAAAATATTCGATTTCTTGTTTTCACGATTCAGATGTAGAAAAATTACTCGCCTTATTTGCCCCATATAATGATTATTCTACCCGAAGGTTCTGTTCTTCCCGTTTGTTTCTCCCGTCAGATTGAAAGACTGCCTTCATTATCGGATTGTGATTACCCTTATTTGAAGGTAGACAATGTATGTGTAAAAGATCAATTCCCCCTAAGAGGTCGGTAATGATCACCATCAATCAATGGAATTAAAAGATGCTCGCGTTTAGACTCAATAGCAGCGTAGAAAAATGGGATAAAGAACGACAATAATTCTATCAGCTATATCATGAGATCGCTCCTTTTTTTGTAGGTCTAGACAACACAGTATTCTTGAAGAAGTACTGTTTGTTCAATAATTTTAGGTGTAATGAAGGAAAGCTTGGGAAAAATGTGTTTGTTAGTAAAAAGGAATGATAAAATTCTGTGTATTAATCCGTAATACGTTTTAAAGATTTTTGTTGAAATTGATAAATTCGATATCAATTCAATTTTTAATTTCTGTTGCTACTCTGAAATCAATACACCCATTATGTTTTAAGATGACAAATGTTTGGTACGATATTTCCGATAAGAATCAAGTGTAATGTGTTAAATAATTTATATCTGCTGCAGTTAAACATTGATTTTTTTGTAGAGCGATGTGTGCTACTTTTTCACAAGAATCGATAGGCGAATAAAGCTACACATTTCATCTTGGCTTTTTTGTATTTTTGTGTAAATGTTATGTTTTGTTATAGTATGCGTGTGTTTATATTTGTTTTTGAAGGCTGATAGCACGAAGTGCACGAATGTTTTACATATTGTTGGAAGTGGGTACGAAGTAGTGACTTGCAGCAACCGTGCAGCTTGACCTTCCTGTCAATCTGCGGTTACAAAATCTCCCCCTCCCGCCTTGGTACTCTACTGCAGTCAAACACATCCTTATATATTGTGATCATGCAGCTCCTCTTGATGATTAAATTGAACTCAGCTCTGCATAGCACTTGCAACATTATATAACCCAACACCAGTTACCATCATGGTGATAGACGCCTGGTCGTGGTCATTGACATTTTTTTAGAACGGAAGAAGAAGAAACTGAGCAAAAACAATGTCTTCCGTCGGTAAACATAAAACACACACACACACACACAAAGAAACAGAGATACACCCACAAATACACACACGCGCACACAAACACACACACAGTCAACATGCCAACACAATATTTCCGTAACTGTCAGTGCTCCCGCCGAACGTTTTCCCAGTTAGCAGACTGATATATACACACAAACACACACACACAAACACACACACACTCAACATACCGACACAATACTTCCGTAACTGTCAGTGCTCCCGCCGAACGTTTTCCCAGTTAGCAGACTGATATTTGTGTCTCTCCGGGGTGCCAGATGGTGCGATAAGTCAGCACGTCAGATAATGGTGACGTGAAATTAGACATCAACTCCTCCTTTCAGTCCCCCGAGATAAATGTGCACAGTATGCATTTGATCTCTGTGTTTTAGCAACACTCAAATATTGTCCGCGCCAGTATATATGTGCTATATATGTATATCTGTCCGCCTAGGGCTGCCAGACTCTTTCTTTCAGTCTATTTTAGTCTCTTATTACAGTTTAGAAGGTAAAATTTATGTAAAATCTGACTAGGATTACATATTTCGTATTTGACAAATTAGAATATAACGCTAGTCCTTAGGGACGGCAGCTGTTTTCAACTGTATAAATAAAAATAATATCCTCGGTAGCTGTTGTTGACAAAAAGCCGATTAAGTGAAAAGTTTTTGTAACGCTAACATCCATAAAGATGTTCATACATAGTTCTTTCTAGGAGCTAACATCGAGAGCAATAAATAACAGAACATGTGTAATATCACTGAAGGTAAGGAAGGCAATAAAACACCAGCTTCGCTTGGTCACAGCATTTATTCAACTCGCACTGTTTGTATATTCCTTTGGTTAGATATATCTTTACAAGGATGCGGCAATCGGGAACCTTGTGATGATAATGATAACGATGACAATGATAAACATGTGTTACCATCTTCTTTAACGATGGATTGAGATGTGATGTGCAATGTTCAGCACATGACGTTCACAACATTCACAACATTGGTCCCTCGATTGGGTAAAAAAAAGGACCAAATCTGTTTTGCATACAGGTTTAATGGGACATCCAGACATTAACCTTTTACAGGATCCACGTTTTGACACGGGGAAATGTCACGACCAGCCAGCCGTGTCAGAGCGAAAACCACTTCAGGAGCGTAGTGCAGTGATTTAGTAGGTACAGTAACTGTTCTAGCCGCGAAAGTTGACAATGTACTCATAACTGAATATGCTGTAGATACCTTTTGAAGATATGTTTGATAGGTCGATGATGTGTAGATATTCAGGTATACCACACTCACTCACTCACTCACTCCGTCGAGACTCGCTCGGAATCTTTCATGACTAGATGTTAGATTATAATTAATCAGGTATACCATTACATATATAAATATAAATAAGTGGATAAATGATAAATTCAGGTACCCATTTATATACAGATTGCAAATCATACTCATTTTTCTGTCACTGATGAGAGCTCGAGATAGTGGATGCTATCTGAAACGTCAGACTCATCTGACAATCTATCAAGCTTCAATATTTATGTTGTATCACGATATGTAAGATTTACTTTATCCGCTAGCGAAAAAAATATATGGTCGTCACTCGTCTGTGACAGATCTTTTTTAAAGATAAAGAAGTAAAGCTGCAGTGTAACAAACAAGGCACAGTTTTAAATTTCATCCCAAAAATTCATCCCCACATCCACCGCCCGTGATATGTTGTCAGTTCCTTGGCATTCCATGGCACCATAGTCCAACAGATGTAATGCTAGTTGCTTAGAAAATATAGACAATGTTTGTATCGACACTTCAACGGGATATAATGGGTATTGACATTAAACTGGCTTCAGTTAGAAGGTTTTAAATTTAAATTTCTTGATATGGTGGCATTGGCATGTCTCAGTTTTCGTTGCCATTGGTGTACGCTCATGGTTATTGCATCGTCATCAGTTGTAGCAGACCATACGAAACTCCCTGTGCTGTTGTTGAGTCAATAAAGAATCTAAAATGTGTCATCCTTGGACCATGTTAGACGTTACGTTCCTACTACATTACGCCTGACAGAGGGCTTTCCTGTGATTGTGTGAAAACGTGACAATTCATGAGCTGAAGAGCAGAACGTACATGCAGAGATGATCGATGCATGAGAATAGTGAGCGTGATGATGGTGGTGAAATGTCCACAAGTGCTGATGATTGTATGCATATTAGATTTAGCTGACTACGCATCATTTGGTGATGCCGTCAGTTAGTACACTGATTTTATCTAGCTGGCCTCTGATCGTATCTGTGGACCCGATGCCACGTTTGGGGCTGCTTTCTCTGTTGTGACTTGGGTCGATACTTCTTCCTACGATCTGCCTGTACCTTACCCTTCCTGTCCAATGTTCCATTTGGTCCTCGATAAGCGTGCATCCTTGTCTGTGGGATCTGGGATTTCCCAATAGTATCCAGAACAGGCGTTTTATAGAGGGTTTGATCCGCCTGTTGCATAGATGAGTTCTGCGATAACCTGTTTGTCTGTACATTACCTCGATATGAAGGAGCTTGTTGTTGGTTTGTTATCCTTGCAGCATGTCCGAGCCGTTTGGTTTGGCTTTGCGTAGTTGTAGCGAAGGTACCGTCCCTCCGGATAAAGTTCCTAATGTCCTCCTCGCGAGTGGTGTTCGATACCACGTACCTGCTCTTTCGATCCCCACCATACGGTTTGAATTTGTTAGGTTTTCTTTCTTTCCAGTTCTTCTGATAGCGGGAAATGGTGTCGTTATCAAGAGGCTTACGCTTGAGCTCTGCCCAATTCTTCTTCCACATGTCCACAAATGATTTGGCACTGTTCGTAAACAGCCAGGAAGGAATCCACGACTCTTCTGTGGGGTCGGCAGTCCGCTCCAGTTTTGCAGCGATGTAGGTGAACAAGGGTTGATGTGACAGCGCGAGAAGCTCGTATTCCAGACTGTTCAGTCCGTCTGTTCCGTACCTGTCTCGCCCCGTCTTCAGCTTCTGAATTCTAGAGGACAGAACAAAAATTTTTCTTCACTTATTTGCATATCAATCAATAGTTCGTGCTTATTAACGAAGTTAGACTTTATGTTTCACTGCCCTCATTATAGCACCGAAAGAGATCAGTTATTTGAAATGGTCACCAAAATGTTCCCTAGCTTTATTCACCTTCCCAGCCTACAAAAAACTGCATTTCTATTAACACCTCCCAATTCATATATCTCGCAAAATGTCGGCCATTTCATACTCCACTGCACACGGAAAAGAAATCAAACCCAACAATAACTACAAATGTATATATAAAGTAGCATTAGCATCACTTATTATCATTCTACTGTTTACTGTTGTTATCATGTTCTTGCAATTAGCCCTCGGGCATACATTTGCAATAAACTTTCTTTCTTAATTAACCTGCATTTCTCCTGCAGTCTCTTAGTGTCACTGACGAAAGGTAGTGGATGCTACCTGAAACGTCTGACCATTTCCAAAATCATATCCAGAGTAACTGCTTTTTGGCGTATCTTTTTACCTGGATGTCTAACCTTCATCAACGACAGAAAAAAGTGTACGGAAAAAAGTACGTCCAGCTGTTAACAGCATGTGAAACATCTCTACTGTGATAGTAGGATTCACACGACATGGAACTAATATCCTTTCCATTAGTAGCCTGGTGACATTCCCCCAGTCATTTATCATAGAGTATCATTGATTCAACAAACCTAACCGTATGTCCAAACCCATTTGGTCAACTCTGTATTAAATATGGCCATCTTACTCCATGATCTTGCCATGGCCATAAGAGCTGTAGCTGATACTTGGCTGTCGTAAGCTTTGAAACTTAAAGACATCCAGTGCAGTTTTTAGGGCTTGGAAACCCGATTTTTCAAAGCCAAAATTTTAGTTATTTATATCTGCATACTGAGTTGAAACCACACTGTCCCAATGACCCTTATGGAGCAAACATTCTGACGAAAAATGGTTGCTGGCCCTGGGCTGATTTTAGGGTACCACCCAGAAAATAAAGGACTCATCTTGGGCTTGTTTCTGCAATTTAAATTCCCAAGTACTAAATGCTGATTTAAATGTGCTACTGCGAAGCAGTATGTGTCAATATCACAAATTTGATTGTCTTATTCAGAATATTTCCAGTTTTGCTGCCCTGAAATCGCATTGGATGCCTTTAAGTACAGGCGGCCACGTCGAGAGCAAAGCCACATTTTGAAGCTGTGATAATGCAGGTGTGTGGAACATGGTCCCTTACCTGTCAGGACTCGGCTTGGCCTTCCTATGAGGGATCATCTTGTAGCGGGCAATTTCAGCTGGAGGTCTCATGACATACAGACTATGGGCAGTCAGTCTGGAACAAAATCAGGTAGTAAATTCTATCTTTTATCAAATATCATGTTCATCATTTTTTTACCTGTCAACAATGACGTTATTTCTATCAATAACAATGTTTTTATGTGTGTGTGTGTTTGTGCTATCATTTTTGCGCATTAAATACTAGGTTTTATTTGGACAGTAATATCATAGGAATAGACACTGAGAGTAAAAATATATTTGTTATATCACTGAAATATAATATCATAAACATACTACAGGGGTTTGATTTTTGCTGACTTTTATTGTCACTTCTTTTCATTTGACCACAAAGTCTTTTTAAGCTGTGAAATACATATCAAATCTCCGTCTTTTTTCTCTGTCAGTTTTTCTGTACCATTTGAGTAGGCGTGAACGTTTGATTAATTGTTCACCCTCTGGACTTTTGTTGGTCGGCAGTGAACTGTTCAAATTCCCATTAGGGTAGGGCCATGACTATGCATCTTGCTTCAGTCTTTAAGGCAAAGTGCCAGGCATGCAGCTTAAGTGGTACCAGGGAGCGTTGTGTTCTTGGGCTTGATAAACGCTGGGTAAAGTTACTCACAACGCCCTATAAATCTAAGACGTTTGACTGTCAAGGCCGTTTTTCTTTATTGGTATTTGTAGTTAAGGCCACAGCAAGTAAATGGTATGGATGACGTCCTCCAAATCTAATGCGATAGGGCGAAAAAAACAGGATTTCTATATTTTCAAATTTTGAGATCATAAAGCTTTCTTTAAACAATATTTTTGTATTCGTCGGCAATATCACATATAAAGGAATGAAATACAATATTGCAACAAAGTAAAAGTAAAAGATAAAACAATACATCAGAACCTTCTTTTGTCTCTTCTCTTCTCTTCACATTTATCTGTCATCCAAGTTCCGGAAAGGCAACAGACATATTTACCCATTTTTGGCCTGTTGTCCACTGTCAGAGGGCAACAAAATTCTTGGGTTTTTTTCAAAACCAGGCGAAAATCAATGCGCACGCTAATGTCATCCATAAAAATTACTTGCTGTGTCCTAAAGGTGTCAGATAATTTGCAGTAGGGAACATACCCTTGACCATGCACGGTCTAAACATCTATAATCCTTTGTTTCGGGAGATGATTTTAAGTGAATATTCTTTATCCTATTATCAGTAGATGTATACGTTATTTTGGAACATGGTTTTATACCATTCTGCTATACATTCTACACTGATTTCCCCTGTCAGTTTGCAATTAATATTCGCGCATTTCATTGCAATAAAGAACTTTCATTCTTTCTCGCGATACTAAGCAGTAAAAGGCCACGCTGACTTAATTTTATGGATGACATCCACGCGCGCATTGATTTTCGCCTGTTCAAAAAAAAAGATCATGTCTAGTGTCCACCGAAGCTCTGGCAAGGGTAGTCCATGGTAGTTGGCGACAATACGGAACCAGACACCCAGGTTACCGAAGCTCCACGACTCAAGAACTCAGTACATACGCACAGTGCCGATGCATACATTCCGCAAAAAGCCAGCATGTGCCGGCTTGTCGTATACGTCGCTATGTATTGGAGCAAATTCACAATTATACCAGCTTTGTATTACTGTGGTTTAGTAGCATTTTTTATTTCTGGCCGGAATTTTTTTTATTCGCCCGCGCGCACTAGTTTGGGGGTCTTCAGAGGATGTCATCCATAAAATTAAGTCGGTGTGGCCTAACCTCCATATGCTTTAATATACGACCGTCCATAGAACATCAGAAGAAGCTGCCGCTTTATGAGCAGTAAGTTATTGATAGGCTGTTGTATTCTTCAAGGACATGAACAGGGACATGGTCAGTCCTGCTGAGACGTTTTTGTTCCTATAATTAGAACTCAGTTTGCCGTTACGAATGTTGGGGATTTTGTGCGGGCTTTGTTGGCTGACCTGTTTGCCATGTCATCATCTTCTCCTCCCCAGCCCCAGAACGAGTTGGAGAAGCCGTTCACTCGCTGGAAGTGCACCGTCGACAGGGCACAGATGCCGCCAAAAATTCCATCGTAAGGCAACCTTGAATAGAGGAAAAGAAGTCAAGACCCACACGGTTTTTGTAGGGTTAACTTTAAAACATGAATAACTTGTCAACGACACAAGATGTCTGAAAACAGATTGCAATTTTCAGTATCATCTTCTGGTTGAGAGAGCTTTCCAATAATACCAATAATTGCAAGTTCGCTCTGTTCTGAGCGATTTTGTCTAAGGTTAGGGTTATGGCACAGGGGGTTAGGGTTAATTTCAAGACATGTATAACTCGTCAACATGTCTGAGTAGCCAGAAAATGTTTTAAATGGTATCATCCATTCATCAGATGAGTGTCCATTGGTCAGAGGAGTAACCATGGTCAGAAGAGTGTCCAGTGGCCTCTGGCCAAATGACTAAGTACAGTCTTGCCACCGACCGTAGGATCTGCTTGGAGATTATTACAAACATTGTCAGTTTGACCAGTCATTCGACAATGTTATCAGTAGGCATAGACCACGATCTCTGCAACGGAGGATTCGAACAATGTATCATAAGGTACGCTCGTACAAAGGCCAATATTAAGCTTGACTGATTGTTTGTATAATCATTGCTTTCGAATGTTTTCTGCATTATTACAGTATAGTCCTACAGTATTTTACACTTTAAAAACGACGTGCTGTAGTGTCATTTTATGAAGATTTCATTTCAAAGTATGCTTCTACCACCCCAAAAACTTGATACTTTCTTATTTAGCAAGCTCTGCCGCGTCCTTTCTTTATGGTTGATGCCGATATGAGGTGTGAATGATGCTCTCTCTTTCTGAGCTATTGTCAGATTTACAGACGGTGACAAGTTTATTCTCAGCATGCGGATCCGTCTACCCAATAACGGAGGGAACTTCTCCTTACATCAGCAGGTTTTTCTCAGACAGCGATCGGTATTCGTTAACACGCCGTTCAACATGATGGATCCTTCTATTCCTGGCATTTGCAGCTCAATGCTGGCAGTCAGCGTCGATTTGGACAGAACGGTAGCGAACGTGTGGCCAAATATCGGTCAGCTAGTTATCTCTTACACCAGCTTTCCATGAAGTGTTTCCTCATTATAATCACATTCTGGAAAATTACTATTTGATCAAGGCAAAGACGTGCAACACATACAGCTATAATGTATTCTATATAACATCTACTGCTCTTTGGCAAAAACGTGGTAACTTTGCTAGCTGACTAGCTGACTAATATTTGGCTTGAACCAACTCTCCGTGTTACATGGTTTGTTACATAATACGTAACATGCTACGTATTATGTAACAAACCATATGTAACACGAAGAGCTGGTTCAAGCCAAATATCAGTCAGCTAGTTACCCCTTTCACCAGCTTCCCGTGAAGTGTTTCCCCATTATAATCACATTCTGGAAAATTACTATTTGATCAAGACAAAGACGTGCAACACATACAGCTATAATGTATTCTATATAACATCTAATACTCTTTGGCAAAAACATGCTAACATTGCTACGTATCACGTAACGAATTCGAATCATGTAACACGGAGAGCTGGTTCAAGCCAAATATCGGTCGGCTAGTTACCCCTTTCACCACCAAGAAAGCTATGGACAGGTAACACTTAGAGTTTGTGGTGTCTCTTTTGTTATGACTGATAAAACTCTCATCAAATCATTAGAAGCCCTTACTGTTAGGTATTAAGTAAGATAATAGCTTTGATATAGAATAGTAATGCATACAAGCTTAAATGTCAGCTAACCTGATGCAATTATTTGAGCACATATTTTCATTTTTTATCTAAAATTTATCGTAAAGAATTGTTCCAACTGGCAAATGCCTGCAGTCCAAATAGACTTTCCACTTCCAAACACTTTGCATTTTTTTCATTATTACATGCAAAACCATTCAATGAACTTCCATTTTTTTCTGGAATAGGAATAATCGGACATTTAAACGTTCAGTATTGATTCAGCTAACCAAATCTATTTACTCCAGAGAGATTTTTCTGACAACCGAATGATTTTTCTCCAAAATCTCGATCTATAAATTCCTTCTTGCGCTTTAGAGTCCGTTCAAGTGCATTACTCATACTTAAGGGATTTTTGCAAGATCGTTTTGATAAGAGGTAAAATCGATATGGTTTATGATTTGATACTTAAGATATTTCCCCATGCAGCAGGCTATTTTAGTTTTCCAATTTTTAGTCGTAATCTTCTAAATCTTCTTGATAGAAAATGAACGATTGATGTAGAGAAGTTGATTCCAGTTCTTGTTTCAATTGGTTTTGCAATGAGGTATGTATTAAGTTCAAATTGATAAGATACTAGTCATAACTACCTAACGTATGTTTTATGTATGTATTGAACGGAAGTGGTTGGCGTTTATTTTGTATCTGCAATTCTTCACCTTTTCTATGAAATCCGTACAATGGTACGTTTAATGATCATTAATGTATCAAAGTTTTTGCTGTTGTTGTAACGTAAATCAGCAAAGATGGCGATTGTGAAACGACGTAGCGTATGTATTTTATGCAAATTCACAATGTATTTTAGACAATATGCAATATTGTAAGTCCGCTATTTGCTTATAAAAAGTCATTTCTTATGCAAGTAGATGAATGATGTACATTTCAACAAATCACTTTTCACATATAAATCAGGTACGGAGCTCTGGAGATCATTACAAAAACATAAAAGAAATATTTACTTGTAGTTCATTTCGTCCACAGCGACGGACATGTGTTTGGGCGTGTCCGGGCAGGAGTAGATGTTCCTGTCGTCCTCGGGGATCAGATCCACGTCGTGGAAGATGAAACAGTCGTAGTCGTACTCCTTCAGCGCCTCCTTAAAACCGATGTTAAACAGCATCGCACGGTTGAACTTCGGTTCTCCGTACTGTAATCACACATACGGTTGGCGTTAGCGTTGGTTATGTTTACCGGGGGAAAACATATTGTTTTTCCTCAGTTTCTTCCTCTTCTCCTCCAAACAAATAAGGACAATGACCTGAACCAGACGTCTCTCACCATGGTAACTGGTGTTGGTTTACATAATGTTGCAAGTGCCATGCAGAACTGAGTTTAGGAGAGGCTGCATGGTCACCATATATATGATGAGTAAGAATAGACAAAGCTTGTTAAGCTGGTGATGCATGATGCATTTGCTTTGAAAATGTTACCTTTCTAGTTTGGTTTAGTTTTGCTTTCATGCCCACGATCATAATAGTGATAATTCTTGCATACTCATTTTAACCTGAGTGAAGTGAGGAAAGTCGTGTAAGGTGCCTTGTCCAATGGCACAAGGTTGGTGACTTGGCAAGATTCGACCCAGACCTCTTGATTCTGAGCCGGCCGAATGCTCTGCCGTTACGCCACACAACCCCCATTGCTGTTAAATGTGATCCACTGCACAAACAATCAATGGGATTTACCAATGGTAGTAAATGTCAGTAAATTCGGGTAACGTTTACTTTATAAACAGTACCAAACTTTACAACTGTAGTAAAACAAATCAAATCCGGTAATTCCCTTTACTATACGGTTACAATTTTCAAGCGTGGCACTGTTTACAATTCAAACATTACCCGACTTCACTGACATTTACTGCCATTGGTAATTATTGCTTTTCGTGCGGTGATCAGTGCACGTTTCATTACGGAAAGTTGAAGGGAACTAAAGCATTAAAAATTTCCTGCAAGCAAGGGAACGCGTGTTGGAATCCCTGATGCGTGATTCAGCTGGGACCAGACACACTAGATATGTATCAGGGCGGAATGACTAATACAAATGTAGACCGGGCGAACATGGAAATGTACGTGCATCATGTGGAAATGTTTTGTTCTACAGGCATTCAAAGAAGTTTTAGAGAGGCAAAACAAAATATTCTGGATGAGGAAATCTGATATTGATATTTACTGATATTTCTTAGCACACTTTTGTCATCATTTCATGCTTGGACAGCAGCGTTCCAAATAGCCCCAAAATAACCTACGTGTGGAGGCCCTTTTTTCGGTGTACCGCCCATAAAATTCTAAAACCAGCCTATGATAGGAAAACAATCAACTGTTTTCCATCAGCAACACCGCATTTTTCACAAATATCAGTATGTTGTGGGATATGATTCATCGTACTATGTTACAAGAATGACAAGAAAATTAACTTTTGAAATCCAGTTTTGCGCCAAACCAGCTAGCTGTGACACCAACTGCAATATCTGATTCCAGTAACGAAAACAGTCACAAACGCCAGTGTACTCAAGTTAATTTATTTCTTCATTCTATGTTGCAAAAGGCCATGCCTTCAACTATGTAGAAGTGTTCTCAATCACATCCAAAAGGCATCCCGCGAGCAGCCTAGCCTATATCCCGCTGATTTTTATTAATTTTCCTTCCTCGTCTGATTTATTCCTTGTCAATAATTAATTACCGTACTATATAAAATATCTACATTATGATGGAAAGTCAATCCAAAGCAGTGGGATATGGACTACTGTGAGTAATGTGGGGGTGGGAGTTGTTACACAGACTTATTTTGGAGCTTCGCCCAAGGTACGTCCATCTCTATTAACCAAATATATCTCTTAGATTTTTTATCGATTTTCCCGTGATGAGATGTCCCATGCCATTACACATGGTATGAATACACACGTGATGCCGTCTTAAGGTTCAGGTTAAGCCTCGCCTCCACATCCTTGGAGAGATCCCGAGATTATCGAACTACCAGCGGATCAGATGGATGAATTTGCCGTTATGGATGTATGGATATGGCATTAATAAATCAATTCAAATTTCCTCTTCGTACTCATATAGCTCTGACTCCCAGTTAAGTTTGTGATCG